TGATCAAACTTTAACTACACATGCATTAAAATACTGATATAAAGCCTCTGCTCTAAGAAGGTTAGATATCTAATAGCAATTCCAAGCATTTAATTAGGCTAGTTCTTTAGGTTAATAGATCAACTTGCACTTCTGTAGTGCCCACCATCAAATTATCTTTGGAAACAGCAATTAATTAAGCCTCATGTTACTCCTGCAGGTTTAGTTAATAGTATTATATCAGTAATACAAGGCCCAAAGGGGTTTAGACAGTTTTCTTCTCCCCTCATGCCTCCTTGAGGAAACAAAGGTGGCTGTGCTCCAACCTTGTGCACCTCCACCAGAAAAGGTAGGTGACAGGAGCCTGGACCCAGGAGTAAGGTGCTCAGGTGATGATAAAAGAGTCACTGATGGCACCAGCACCAAGATGGTGATACTGGGATGCTCCACCTGTCCATCTGCCTGTTCCCTTGCCAGTCAGGGAAATTTATATGGATTATGGGTATGCTCAGTGCTCCCCTTCAGCTACCTGTGGAGTTCAGTCTTTTCTCACACAACCATCCCTTTACCACCTGTGAGATGCTGCCATCTTTCACGATGCTGTCTCTACCTTTTCACAGCTTCTTGTGCCATTGTTTGTTATCTTCAGCAGTTCCTCATGTCATGTCCTGTGGTTTCCCTTGTCCTGCTTAGTTAGCTTCATCTCAAGCCAAGGACAGTTTGGTTATTTGCCAGCAGGCTTAACAGGAGGCAGTAAGGCCAGGAGACAGTCCAGGAAAACCACACCAGATCATCATCAGCTTCCTCAGCTCTTGCATGAGTGCAGAAACACCGCAGCTCAAGGAGGAGCCGGCAGCATCCTTAGCAAGGGGAAAGCAAGGCTGGGTCTGACCCTGCCTGCACCATGAGCACATGGAAATGAATGTCTTTCCCTTGCCAGGAGCATTTTATATCATTCCAACATGAAGAAAAACATAAAGCCAGACCAAGAAAGCGAACCCAGACCTCCTTGACTGCAGCCATGCCCAGCTGCTGCTAACTCACTGCTCCCTTTTCCTAGCAAAACATCTGTCTGACAGCAGTGGGTTGCCATGAGTTTAAGACTCCTCCAGGGAGGAGAGGGGAGGGTTGAGCCGTGGTCTTTTGACCTGTTGCAGTCAAGCAAAACAACTCTCACTCCCAGCTTTTCCATTGCCTACCTCTGAGAAAGCCTCATCCCTGTCCTGCTAGTCATCCATGTCCTTGCTCTGAAACCGGAATGCACAAGGTGTTTGAAGGTCAGTGCCTAACATCTTAGTGTCACAGCCCTGTGCTGGTTTGGGGCATGACTAAAGGTCTGAATTATGCCGTTTTGAGCTTCCAGTCTCTTCCAGCTCCTACAATTAGTTGAATCTCTTCACTTTGGTCTGCTAACAGGGCTGTTACACAGCTGTCTAATCTCACTGAAGAGGCATGAAATGTAATGAGTGCTAGCAAAGAGAACAAAGATGATTTGATGGAGGGCACTTGAGAAGTGTGAGCCGATATATAACCTGCAAAACAAGTTTAATGAAATGTTTAAATTGCTGTGAGTTATGTAACCACATTAAAACAGTAGCATCAACACCAAAACATTGAACAGAAGCTAGGATTTTCCAAGCTGAGATAGTCAAAAAGTGGTAAGAATTCAACCTCTTCCCTGACATTACTGCATATGCAGAAGACAAGAAATGCCAAATAGCTGATTATTTTTATTTTTATTTTTTTTTCAGTAAAGCACTCAGTGCAATTGGGTAATTACTCCATGCATTGTTATCTAGTTGAACAAACTTAGACTTTCTGGGACATGATTCTCCCCTTCTTCTGCTTAGGAGAAAGGAGGAAGAGGACGGAGGAAGGCACCATCCCTCACCCATTAACCTGCTTGAGCCAGAGCTTCCCCTCTTCCCCTCGAAGGACTGAGAGGCCCCACATCATTGCATCGTCATACGAGTGACTCCAAACAGCTGCCCAAGATGACCCACACTTCTCCCTCCATTAGAAGTCCCACCCCATCAGCCAAGGCCTTTTTGCAATCTGTTCACCTCAGTGGTATAAATTTGTTCCATTTGGGTTGGACTGACTTGCACTGATGAGATGTGAGACAGTGGAGAACGAAGACTTCAGGTTTTTAAATTTCTTTTTGGAAAGTACCTTTCCTGCATGGGTAATACTCCAAATTTTGGTCCCACTGTCTAAATCCACATTCTTTATTCTGCTCAAAGCTCAATGTTGTGTTTGTTACCCGAACATTCTCCTACAAAGGACTGCTGGTTTACATCATTGCTAAAAAGGGGATTGGCCTTATAAAATCAGTTTTCCATACGGTGAGATACAGAGGGAGTCCTCATGAGCTGAAGATGCCATCGAAGATGAGCCCTTTCTGCTCTGGGATAGTCTAATTTAGAAGCAGGAAATTCCTCAGAATAAGCAGCTCCCAGTCCCAGCTGAGAGCTGACTAATAAAAGTGCTGTGAAATATTTAACTGTGCATAGTAGCAGAAGATTAAGAGCAGATGTGATCTAGCAAAGCAGCTACACCAAGGGGCAAACACAAACCTCCATACCACATCCCCAGCTCCAGCAATGCCCAGCACGTCCCACTGCCACCTGGGGAGAGCCGATGTTCTCCCTCCTCTTGGGAGCTGCCTTTATATCCCATCACCTGTGATATAAAATCCCTCAATCACATCACAGTGCTTGAGATTGCAGAGGGGTGACAATACTGTAGGAGCCAATCTTAGGATAGAGCAAGAGCATGTACCATATGGAGAGGCAAAATGTGTCTTTAGGCAAGGCAATATATGTCTTTAGGCAAGCTGATGGAGCTGGAATAAAAGAGATAGGTGGTGTTGTCTCTTTGCCACATCTCTTTGAGGAGACTCAGCTCAGAAATTTGCCTTTCTTGCTTGTTTAAAAGGTGGGCTCAGCTGCAGACACGTGGTGGCATCTGCTCAGTATCTAAGGCATGTTCGTGCTGTGGACCTAGCTGGGGTATTTGCTGTCTGCTCAGGTTATCCTACCCTCCATGTGAGCTACAGCATGCTGGTGGTCCTCCCTGCAGCATCTTCTGCTCTTTATTTACCTGGCAATGCCTTGATCCTTGAACTGATGTGAATATGAACCACACCAAAGTCTGCAATTGAAACATAATTTTAGGGTTGTTGTAGGAACTGTGAGAATGTTTTCATCAGGGTGCATAAACTGAGCGCCCAAAACTTGTGTTTAGGGTTTTGTGGCCAAAAGACACGGCCACACTTCCCAGGGCCCCAGTTATTGGGGGTTTATCAGTACTGAAAGCAAAGAGCCAGTAAGAATCAGCACTCGTGGGGTTTTATGGGTGCTGAAAGTAAGAGGCAGTATGGTGGCTCCAGCTGTATTTGCTTACTACAACATTTTTGAAAGTTTCATTTCTTTTATCCGGGCGCCTTGAATAAAGACTTTGCTCCTGGAGTCTGAGAATTTATCCAGTTACAACATTTCCTTCTCCCGAGCCCTCATTCCAGGGCCTCCAGTTTTGGATTTACGTTGCTTATTTTCTAAGCAGACCAACCTTCTATCTCTTATTGTTGAAACCCGGCAGACATTTTTATAAGATTTTATTTAGTTATAACTCACAAGCGTTTCCACAATTAGTTCAAGGAAAAAAAAAAATCAGGAGTTTAATTTCTCAGCACAGTTGCTCAGGGAAATCCGTGCCTCCTCATGACCCGCTGGCCGCGAGTGGGACGTTTTTGATTGCTGCCCAGAGGTGGCTGTCTGGCTCTGACTCACTGCAGTTTCACCTCCAGCCGCCGAAATACCCTGAGTCACAGAGGCACTGCAGCTGATAATGAGAGCTAATCATGCGAAGGATATTACAGCCATGAAGGCACGTTAGGCACAGCTCCTGGTGGACGACAGAAGCAGGACACAAGTATATCTACATAATTCTTAATTAACTACAAAAAGTGGCTGGCTCCCTTTCCCCCCCGTCCCACCTTCCCTCCTATTTCCCAGGCCATAAACCAAATCTTCGGCAGGTATAAACTGGCACAGGCTCTCTGACTTCAAAGGAGCTGCATTGGTTTGAACCAGCAGAGATTCTGGCGCCATATGGCCCTCATTATGTTAATGTGAGGCCCAAAGGATGCAGTGCAATAATAAAAAGGAAATACTGTGTGATCCATCATAGCTTTGGCACTCAAGGCAAGACTTTCAAAGGTATTTAGGCACCAAAAGAAGCAGACAGGTGTGTAGGAGATTTTTCTGTGTTCCACTTCCCCACGATAAAAAATGATTTCCTTTCCATCCTAAACCAGCCTTGGGAGTCCCTGCAAGAGGGGGAGAGGCTGCTCACCCGGAGCACCCAGGGAGAGCCAATTCCTTGTTATCACCATGGAAAGAAGTGCTGCTTTTCCAAGCCGGACCAATAACTCAGCTTGTAGTTAGGGTAGCACCACTCCAGGGGCTGCTGGAGGGCAGGTCCAGAGCAAAACTTGGGCAGCAGGTAAGGAGCACAGCAAGACGAATGATTCAAGCCAGGCTCACCCCAAGCCAGGGGAGGAGGTTTAGGAGGACGAGTGCAGCTTATTCCTGTGCTCAGCAGATGGAAACCTACCGCACCCAGAGTTCCCCCAGGCCCATCGGTACGGAAACCTTCAAGAGCACGGAAAGTTCCTTTGATTTTAAATCCAAGCAACTAACCGCTGTTATTCTTGGACATTTATATTACATTTTCCTCATATTTTCCATCGCATGGATGATTAAAAACAAATTATTGCGCTAAGGTGTTTGAAGTTAGGATGCTCTATGCAGCACTTGTTTGTTTCTAAGTTCCTGTCAGGAATTTCCTGCTGATCTGGTTTTATGTTGTCTTTACCTAAACCAAATTTTCACCAGGGACCAAAATAGGCCCTAAATAGTTTGAAAAGTGTTCTTCCATCTCGTTTTTTTTTTTTTTTTTTTTTTTTTTTAAGCCCTGTAATCTTTGTCGTACCAAGTAATGAAGCGAGATTGCTGAGAGTACTCACGTTGCCCTAAAGGAGTGGGAAACAGATTGCTTAATATGGCAAGAGTCACAGCCCACGTAATAACTTTCACGGGCATTTTTCATTGCTCTAATGCCTTTATATTGGTGCTCTCTTGTAATGCAGTTAGGAATGATGCAACCCTGTTGCTGTAATAACCTGGTGGGCAGCTGGATGAATTCCTTTTTTAAAAAAAGTCACCACGTCATGAAGACTTCCTAGCATGAAACATTCTTCATTAGTTGCCTGCATTTTGCATAATCTTGTTCTCCAGACACGTAACTGTTAAGAGGTTAGGTGCAATACCAGTGCTCAGATGTACTCCCTGCATAGTGCTGCCATCCTTCTCAAGAGCCTGCGGTGCTGGGTGTTTTTCCTTTGGTTTCTGCATGTGCTAATGCATCAGGAGCATGCGTTATCCTTGGGAGTGTCCAGAAAATGTGGGAAATGAAGAGTAAGGTAAGGCTCTTCTTCCTGTATGTGTGACAATAAGGTTTAAATCTCTACCTTGCCCAAATCAAACCAGTTAATTGAGTGGGGCTCCTGAAATCAGGCAAATGATTGCCTCTGAATCCTATCAGAATTTGTTTTGACTGCTAAGATCAGCTTTCAAAGCAAGTTTACTCAAAACCAGCATATATCTGAAAAACATTTTTTGAATTTTTGCTTTTCTAAGTGAAGATTTCTGTTGTTGAGCCCCCAGTAAGTTCTGGTTAGCCTGCAGTTAGGCACTGCATTCCTACATGTAAAGGTACAGATAGGCATCTGCCACCTGGGTACAGCAGAACAGCTTCAATAATTAAATTACTGAAGGTGCCCTGTGAGATCAAATACCCCAAATGATATTGTCAAATTGTTTACTGCTAATAGGATGGTGAACTTTTATGATTTTAATTTCAGCAAGTGAACGATTACAATATGAAACCACAGTCCGGCACAATGTTGTGATCGCAGCTAATTTTACACATGTAAGCAATGCTTCCCCTTTGGCATAAAGATTTGCAATATCAGAAAATTGACACGTAGCCAATGTGCTTTAGGAAAAAATAGCAACAAGTAAAAAACTCTCTTATATGAAGCTCTATAGTGGCTGAATATTTCTATAAAGTACCCGAAGCTCATTTACACTGCGCAGCAGGGATCAACACACATCTGCCTTTACAAATTCACAGAACTTGTTGACTTATGTTCAACCAAGAAAAATGTGAAAAAAAATATTTTTATAGCAAATTCCTCAAATGCTTATCGTGTGAGGCATCAATAACAAGACCTTAAACAGGCTCTTAATTCCCCAGTGAGGTATTTAAACAGTGGGTGGATATTCAAAAATGCTGGACAATGGCACTGCTCATTGACTTCTTTTCTGAAGATCAAACCACAGGCTTAGCTTCTTACCAAAATCCTAAATTTAGACATTCGATTGGAAAATTTTCAATGTTGCTTCCCTTATGCAACATTTCCTCCTTGTGTTTGGGTAGAGGATGCCCATGGAGTTGACACAAATGCTTTGCGATGCCCAGCTATTGTGTTCTCGTTAACTCTCTAACCTCCCAGGTTTTATAAAACACAAATATTGCACTGGGTATTTATTGGAGACCTGGACAATGACAGCTTGTTGTTACAAAGCATAAGTAAAAAATTCTCTTTTGCACTTCCCAACTTTTGCAACCACTTTCTTTTCCTGTTCTTTCATCATCATCTCTGCAGAGGGCTCTGTGACAGAACCTTAGTACAACCAAGATAACAAATTTGTTATGATTCATGCACAAAAGGGATAACTATGCCCTAGCATGGGCTTTCACCAAATATCAGACATCGCTTCCCAGCTTGTCTCAAGGCCCCCAAGGTTTGTAAACTGCATGGAAAAGCATGGGCCAAAATTTCAGGTATCTCTCATTTCAGCGAGAGACTGGGCTTGAGTCCAGACAAAACATGGGAGTTTCACTTTTGGCCCCACTCCTGGAAGAGCAAGGGATTTGAGTTTGTGTGTGACACAACATGATCACACCTTCACATCTGACACCTGGAGAAAGGTAAGAGCTCAGGACGAATTGAGAAAGAAGTGCTGGAAGGAATCTAAAAGACAAGTAAATCCAGGCCCTTGTGTTGTCATCATGGCATTATGTGATTTCCCTTACAAATGTATCCATTTTCGTGTTAAAATCAGCTAAGGTTTTTGCCACTATGGTCATACTGGCATGCTACAAGAGAGCATAAGGATGGCTGAGACAGCCAGACCAGGCCAGATGTCCACCTACCACCGTGTCCTGTCCCCAGTGTCATCCCTACTGGGTCCAGAAGTGAATGTCCCAGGCAAGCAATGGGACCAGGACACATCTGTGGCCAGCCTGTCCCACAGCTGACTCCAGCCCCTTTGGCTCCTGGCACAGTGCCTCCTGAATCCTGCGATGACCACCACTTGTTTAAAGCTTCAAGCCATGACCTTTATGACTTCGGTACATTACAGGTACTACTGTGCCCATGGAAAAGGCAAAAATAATCCAAAAAATATTGGAGAGAGACTGAAGAGTGCTGAGGAGCCTGCTAAAGGCCATCACAAGAAGGTGCCAGGAGCTCGTGGAAGAGCTGACACCATCTGGGTGACCCACAGCAGGTAAGTGGGTGCTGGCAGAGGTGCAGAGCCAGCCCCAGTGGCTGCTAGGAGGAAGGTGAGAGCTGCTGGGTGGGAGGCAAGAGCAGAGCTTCTCAAATGGAGCAAATCAAAGGCTTGGAGGGGCTAGGAGAAGTTATTTATGCTGAGGGGTAATGCTAGCTGAAGAATAATTGCTTTCAGGCTGCTTTTGGACAATTGCTTTTAGGCTGCTCTTAAACCCTTGCTTTTAGGTTGACCTCTCCGGGTTCATCTGGTGCTGCTCTGCCTCTTTATTAGTTACTATCGGTAATTGTAGCCTGAGGCTGTGGGGCAAAGGAGCACTGGGGAGAAATAAAACAGGGGGAGAAGTAGAGAGGGAAGGGCCCTGCCCAGGAGAGCCTGATGTAATGTGGCCTCTGTGGGAGCCCATAAAGCCAAGCATCCCTTTGTGCAGAGGGGACATCGCAGGAGGATCTGTGGTTGTGACCAGAGCTGAGACCACTGGACTAACGAGAGGGACTCAGATGATGTGGCTGCACCACGAGCCATCAAGAGGAGCAGACGTGGCAGAGGGAAGTTAGAAATTTAAATGGTGGCTTTGGAAAGCTCAGAGGGCTCAGAGCAGGGGGAGCAGCAGTTGAGACCTTTCTGAGGTCCAGGTACCAGGGCAGAGGGAAAGCTCCAGGTGTTTCTCTTTGGGGCCAGGCAGAGGACTGGATGTTCCCCCAAAATTCCAGCTTGTTTCCAACCTTCAAGCTCACTGTATGCACGTTGGTAAGTGCTGATAGCCACCAAGATGGACACGTCATTTGGTTTCCCATATATCTGCTTATCTGCATGAGGAACTTCTCGATGGCTGAACCTTGCCAGTCGAGATTGAGAAGTGTCTCCGCCAGAAGGATTTCATCACTGTTAGCTCTGGGTGCTCAACCTGGTTCTTTGCACCAGGAAACTGGGTTGTTTCCCACAGCCTCATGCAAGGAACAAAACTGGGCTGCGGGGTCACTGGGACATGGGGCCACCGGTGGGCAGGTGGGAGGAGTCTGGGAAAGGGAGAGAACTGCCAGTGTCTATGTGTCTGTGTCAGCACTGTCCCCAGGGTGCACAGCGTGACAGAGACCCTAAAGAGCTCCTAATGCTTCCTTAAGGAAAAAGGGGCTCCTGCAAAGAGGCTGCAGGGCTTGAAGAGGAGGCTGGACAAGGGCTTCAGAGTGAGGTTTGCCAAACAGGCCCAGAAAATCTCTGATTTTGGAGTAGGAAGTGAGGAGGAAGGGATGGAGGAAGGGGGTGGCAAGGAATGGAAAGGGGGGATAGAGAGACCACTGCACTGCTCCCATACCCACCCCAAAGTCCTCCAATATGTTCCTGAATCCCTTCAGGCGCTCAGTGCTTCTCAGAGTGCCCCTCATCTCTTACCAGAGGCATAGGGGGATGCTGTTTGCCTCTGGATGGAAAAGGAAATCTGGTGCAGTTCCCAGGGAGGTCTCTCTACTCATTTCTTCAACAATTTACCCCAAACTAAAAAGGTCTCTTTAACACAAGCTGCAAGCACTGCCATTATAAATAAAACTGGGGCTAATCCTGCTACAGGAACAGCTTCTTTGCATTACGCTGCTCCAGCATGCAACCAAAAATGCTCTGTTTAATATATTGCCAAAGCATAACTCTTGAGCAAAACAGACTTTGTGTTTTCTAACTGTTGCTTCCTTTAACTATGGCTGTAACAGCTCAATTATGTGTGCACACGTGTGTGTTTCTGTGTGCACACACAGGTCTCTAAAATTTATTTTTAAGTTTTTCTGTAAGGAAGAAAATTTATTTCATGCCTAGATGTGGGAAAAAGAAAAAAAGAAAAAAGTAAAAAAGGTCATTTATTTGCTGAACTTGTAACAGCTCTAGTTCCCAAGGAGACAAGCATGGGCACTCTTCAGAGGCCTCCTGAATCTAATTGTTTAACATTTTTTTTTCATGCTTGCTAATTGCTCTGTGCAGCTGGTTTTATTTAAGGGGTTAGCATTGAGAAGTTGAAATGAGGACATATTGCAAACTTTACCCCACAGCTCACCGTGCTTTACATTATGCACAGCCACTCAGACTGTTAACCAGAGGTGAGGGCTGAAAGACGAAATGATGCAACTGCAGAGAGATGCGTGAGGATACAGCTGGACAGAACAGCTCAGAGCTGCAAAAAAAAGCTCTTGTCCCGACAGAGGATGTGCATGCAGCAAAACATCCTAGCTTTTGAGGATTTCCAGGCGGTGAGCAAGGTCTGGCTGGCTGCGTACAGGAGGCACATGCGCAGAGCAGCCTCAGCACTGCTCGGCTCACCCCAATGGTCAGAAAACAGGGAGAGGAGCTCGCTCCTTCCCAGCTGGGAGATCTGGGGTGTTTCATGAAATAAATGTCTGCAAACAGGGGAAAAAAAATGCTGACCTTGGGAATATAAAACAGGAATAAATTGATGTGTGCCATTTTTTCTCAAGCACCAAGGGGCTGAAAGATGAAGTGTTTTCAGTATATAGACACCCCCTGCCAATATGCTTCCCATAGCTTTCGGTGAAATGCAATGCAATGGAGATCAAGCTTTAAAAATAATAGCAATTTAGTTAAAAATCCAATTCTCTGCCAGAAGTGTTTTGAGGGGAAGTTGTTGCTGCTGAACGTGCCCGTAAATTGCATTGTCAAAGAAGGTCAGTAGCAGCCACTGGGTGAGGAGGGCTGCATATATTTAGTCCTCCTAACATTAATTCTAGCATAAACTGATGTCAGAAAACTCGCCCATTTTCTCTCCTAGCCAAAGCTGCAACTGCAAAGGAGAGAGGTGCTGGTGGTTGCTCCTCCCCACAGCAGGGACATGCAACAAGGGACCATGAGAAGGCTCTTGCTGCCCTCCTAGCAAGGAGAGGAGCTGGCACAGCTCTGGGACGAGCTAAGGGCCATTCCAATGGAGAGCTGCTCTCTCTTAACCTTTTCTAGCATTAAAAACATTTTTAGAATGAACTTTACTATTGTCTCCTACAGTGGACGCTTTAAATATGCCTGCAGAAGAGTCTTTGAATCACTTGAGGCAGCCATCAGCTTGCGAAGCCCTTCTGCCCTCTGGTAAAAGTGAGATCAGTATCGAACCTTGGATCCTGACCCACTTCAAGTTTTCCCACCCCGCTTCATGCCTTGATGCCGTCAACAGTCTCAGCAGAAAGGATCCTCCCCTTTCCCAAGGGGAGCTGTGGGATCACCCCAACCTTCCGGAGCGATGAGATGAGACAAGAGGCAGCTCTTGTTGGTACCAGTACACAACTCCAGGTCACATCCTAGAGGTTGGAGGGGGTCAGGGCCATGCTGTCATTTATTCCTCCCTGGGCCACGTGCAAGATCTAGGAGGGGTGTTCTGCTCCACCCTTCACTTACTTTCCCCCAATGCTCATGAGTCACTCACACACTGCTTCATTTCAGTGGCTCATTCTGGTGATGTTTCTCCCAGCCGTCTCACTCTGGATACCCACAGACCCGTTAATAAAGGATCCTGGCTGGGATGCTGGCCCCTGACTCACATACGTGCTTAATGTGATTTATGTTCATGACCAGTAAAAGGAAAAAAATCACCTGAGGCATTACTTTTTTTTTTTTTCAATAACATATCTGGGAAGGTAGAAGGTGCTAAACGAGCAGCAGGATCGCTCTCTGCCTTCAGTGAAAACACTGCCTATTACGAGTAAAACATTAATTCAAGAAATCAAATGCAAGTGGTAGGCAGTTCAAACAAAGCTTGTTTCCTGGTTCAAAGCCCAGCTCAGACCTTGATCTGTCTGCCCCCAGAATTTGTTAAAAAGGCAGGTTTCACTCTATCGGTTATGACTGGATGTTACGGTAAAAAAGTGGTAGCAAAGTGTTTTGAATAACTTGAGCATTTCCAGGCTGTGCATGCTTGCTGTTAAGAAGCAGTGATCTCCCTGGCACACACTGGGAGATTTTCTAATTAAATTACAATTCTGAGCAAGTGAAATGTTGTTTCATTGCAGCATAGGTTATTTAGTTAAAGATTAAAAACAAACAAGCAAAAACCCCTAAAACTACTACAGAATATGAATTGCCAGGGTTAAAGTACTCTCAGGTGCATCGGTGTAAATCCGCTGATAACACCTCTGCTGACAGGGTTATCCTGAATTTGGACTGGTGCAACTGGAGGGTGGGAACAATATTTGCAGTAAATACACCCCTATGCTTTCAAACACCCTGTATCACCCAGCTATGCAAACTACCATCAGCAGAGCATGGATGTGTTATTTTGGAACAAACGAACAACAACAACAAAAAAGCCTGTTACATTAAAACAATAAAGACAATGAGTGAGAGGGAGTTTAATCAGAGGGCAGGCTTGTGGTCTTAATGTTCCCACAGATCTGTAGATATAAACCTCCTCTCACACCAGGCTTCATGTACTCATGCTCTCCTCTGAGGAGAAGCAAGGAGACTTGTCTATAATTATACTCATTAGTACCTGTCTTTTTATAATGCTTCCAATTTTTTTTTTTTCCAGAGGAAAAATATGAGGCATGAGTTGTATGATGTAATTTCTATCATAAAATCTTCCCTAACAGCCTGCCTAATCAAGTGCTGTTTGTTGTTTGTTAGTAGCCTTGTCTTTGTAGCTGCAAGAGGTAAAAATATGTGCGGCATGACTTTCAGGGAGAGGCAACAGTTTTTACTGAGGGGAAAAAAAAAGAAAAAAGATTTAGAAAAACACAGTTAGGAAAGCAGACAGGCTTTCAAGCAACAAGTTGGACTTGAAGAAGTGTTTGTATGCCTGAAAGCTTGCCTGCTTTTTCCATCTTTATCACTTGGTCTATTAAAAGATTACGGCCCCCCACAAAACTTGCCCCAGTTATTTACCAAAAAAGTGCTTTGAACAGCTGGGAGCTTGCAGTTTATACAGATGCTTAACAGAAAATTGGATGAATATAATACTATCGTAATAGAGAAAAGACATGAAAAAAAGGTCTGTCACCAGATCAATCATGAGAACCCATCACTGCTGCGCAGGGATGAAGTGGCTCTGCAGAAGGGTCAGTGTTTGTTTCTTGGTTTAATGGAAGGAAGGCATTTGAAGCTGGCCATAAAAGTGGATGATGTGAGGATAAAGTGAACCAAGTGATTAGCCTTGAGAAAAAAAAAATGCTCTGGTGTCATGATCCAAACTTTGCAGCCAATTGGTGCTTTAGAGCAACAGTAGAGCTCTTTGTCTGGCTTAGTTGAGTCATACAATTATCTCAATAACAGTAAGTACCTAGCAACAGCCTCAATAAACACCCATTTCTTTGATTAATCAGCCATTTTGAAACAGGTTTGGTAAACATTACTCTTTCACTTCTGGATTACATTATTAAAAAAGCTGCCCACTGAAGCTGCTCCCCACGCTATGAATAACCGCACTAAACCACAGATGTCCTGCCCAGCTTGGGCAGGTGGGCTGAGCTTAACTTGACACTTCTTGCCCATGTCCAAGTACAGAAAGCAGGTACAGGTCAGAGAAGCATTTATCGTAGGTTTTCTAGCTCACAATAGAGCTGCTGATGTTAACGAGCACTGGCAATAACCACACAAGAATCTGGTGGCGGTGAGACCAAGATAGGAAGAAAGAAGAAGCAGAGCCTTAGTTTCCATTAATGTAAACATTTGCATGTGATATTTAAGGATAACTCACAGTGGCTGGTATGTAGTTTAAGTGCTGAAAGGGTTTTGAGTACTCAGAGATTGCGAGAAGTGTTTGCAGTGGATTGGGATCTGGGAACAAATGGAATTTTTGTTATCGTGAAAGATATCAAGATTATTTCCAAAGTAACCCTTGATGGACTTCTGTGAAAGGGAGGCTGTGAAGTCTAGTTAGAGAGCATGTATATGCATATGCATACAAATAAATAAGCATGTAACAACCTATTTCTATATGTATGTATATAGGGGCTGGAGGTGCTCTCTTTGTGGGAATGCCGAGGATGAAGCTGTTTCCTGCTTTTTCCCAAGCTCTCCGAATGGTGCTGTGCCTACTTCTCGTACATTGATGAGGAATTGAACCGAAGGAACAGGAAAAGACATTTACAGGAAAATGTCTTTGTTCAACTGAACCTCTGCCTACCCTCTTGCCCTCAGGTAAACGCACCGTCCGGCTGTGTGGTCTGAATGACCTTCTCTCAACCTTCCCTGCTGAAACTCTTCTGTTTTGCATGAAATAATTAAGCATAGATCTCTACTTGCTTCAGTCATGATGGAAAATTATGCACCTGCTTTTGCACCCAGGGTTTCGTTTCATTCTGGTATCATAAAGCCACTTAAATATGTGTTCTTTTTCATCGATATGCCCGTTTTATCCCTGGTATTAAAGTACTATTGAGCAGCAAGAGTTTATTCCCTTTCCTGCTGATTTTTAATGTACAAAGAAATAAACTCTTTTTATGACTGTGTTCACAGCCCAGGGATTGTGCCTGTCATTAAAGCAATACAGCGTCTGCGTTCAGATAAGATCTAAATCTAACCTTGCTCAGCGGAGAGGAAAGGAAAAAGCAGACCTCTCTCCTGCAAAACATCACCTGTCTGCAGCGTGGGGGTGAGGTTCTCAGGTGCCTCCTGATCTCCCAGCTTATCTCAACCAGCCATCACACCTCCTCATGTTTTTCATGCCTTGTCTTCATGCAGTGTCAACAGGGAACCATGAAATGCATTTCTGTAAAGACACAAAAAATCATTTAAAGTAAGAAGTACACACAATAACAGAAGTACACACTTCACATACATTAGAGTTAATTCATTACGTGTTTTACAAAAATTTGCCTGGGATCATCTCAGGATTTTTCCTCCAGAACTTACAACCCGTATAATGTGAAGATGTTGAGGAGTCTCCACCCTTAGATACTTTTTCAAAACTTGATTGAACAAACCCCTTGAACAATCTCATCTAACTCTGAAGCTAGTCTTGCCGGATCTCCTTTCCATATCGTTATTTTTTTCTAATAATTCAATGAAAATTTAACCACAAAATTGACACCTGCTATGCCACAGAAGGCAACACGCATGCCACAGTATGCAGCGTGTACTCCGTTATACCACAAAGACCATTGAATACATTTCGTTGGTTTACTTTCCCCGAAGGGAGAAAAAGCCTTTAGGAACGTGCGCTGTGGCTCTTAGAGCTGTTTTCATGTAAAGTCCCAAGTAATGCAAGAGAAAGGACAAACAGCAGCATTTACCTTCCCTGGGTGCAATTACTCATTAATAGGCAATTTTACTATTTGCAGTGAGCTGTACAGGAGGGATGAATGCAATTATTTGCCCATTGTGTTTTCTTTGCTTTTTTACATTTCCTCATGCATCATGTCTGGCTGGTTGTTAGCACCAATTTCCCAGTTTCTTCCATGCTACCAGGTTAAGGGTCGGTTAAGGGTCTTCACCCCTCTGTCCACTGAGGATTGGAAAGATTTGACACAAGGCTGATTGCAACAGAAAGAGAATAAATGCAATAGCTTTCACAGATGCACACAGATCATCTAAGTGTCCTTTTACTCTGAAGAGTGAAAGCCTTTGATTGGGACTGGTGTTTCTGTGGACAACATACCACTACCTGAATAAACTTAAACTCACATTGTGCCATGGCACGTGCGGGAAAACAAATGTGTGCAGGTCCATTCTGGTTGGGACACAGCATACAAAACAAAGGTGAGACTGTGCAGTGCAGGAATCTACTTGTTTCTACTGTTTCACCCTACAGAGGATGTTTGTAAATTAGTAGCCATAGAGACCTATGAAAATAAAAAGAGGGGGACAGATATGGGATCTCTTGTACTAAAAGAAGTCAAAGGAGACCACTATATGAAATTTAAAAGATTAGGAAAGACAATAGTTTAAAAAAAAAAAAAAAAAAAAAAAGCCAGAATTCTCTCAATGGAGAGAATTGCAATCACTGTCAATCTTTCTTTTATTGATTACACATCTCAGAAAGGGAACACAGCACTTTTTAACAGCTCCCTCTGTTCAATGGACAGAGTGCTACGCAAGTCAGGACAGATGTGAAGTATAGTGTAGTAGCTTTGAGAGGTAATGCTTGTGAACTGCACTTTTATCACATGATTTCTTAGTGCAAAAAAGCCTAAAAACACAGCACACTGAAATAAAAGCTCTGCTTTTGTTCTTTCCTTGGAGATTAGAACAGAATCCAGATAAAGTCAAGCTTGAAATGACATTATCCCAGGGAGCTTGGAAATAAAGCATCAAAATTGCAGGGTGAAAAGTTTCTAAATCATACCAGCTAGCCAGAACTTGTTAGGTTCATGACTGATAACCACAAAGTTCAGCTGATCTTTCATGGAACGAATATAGTAAATTTCCTTTCTGGGGGTTATATTTACCCAACCTTTTCAGGTTGCATTATCACCCGCTGTAATGTATTTAACTTCCGTTCATGAGTAACTCTGGCACTTTACTGCTTTTCAGCTATACAAACAACAAAAATACTGAGTTCCTGACCACAAATAAAGGAGAAACATTTGAACATAACATTTTTATTAATGAAATATATTGACACATGTCTATATTGATGTCTGTCATGTTGCCACTGAAGTTGAAAGGAATGAGAGGAATATGAATTTTCCTAAAGCACTGGCTGATTTCTGAAGACCATGTCCTAAGAGACATTGAGCATAAGTGATTCTATCAGTGGCAACTACAGATCTGCAGTATCTTTAATAATTGGCTACAATACAACTTCCATCATAAAATGTATACATTAATACATTAAAACATACTGTAAAGGTGAGCATGAAGTACAGAGTATTTGGAAATGTAGTATGCACCTGATTATTTAAAATGTTTTGTTTGTTTGTTTGTTTGTTTTTCCGTTATTTAATATTAAAACTAAAACAGTCATGCAACACTCATTTATTTTGCACAATCGGTATTATTATAAGAGATAAATATTTTATTAAAGTTGAAGTTACAAAGAAGCACACCACATTAAACTGAGAATTAAGCTGAAGGCACATTTATATACTATAAACTTAGTGTACAGGTTTGGAAGTGGCAAAATCCCATTATCAAGTTCCTACACCATGAAGTAGGCTTTTTAAAAGACATAGTCCAGCTACACAGTCCTGGCATGTGAGAATTCCTGAGAAAATCAAAGTTATCAAATAGCAGAGTTGGTCAGGGTTAGGAGGCTGAGACGTGGTGTCTCCTGCAGGAGATCCCGTGTTTCTTAGCAGACGCTAAAGGAGGGCACATGCATGACACAGCTCCATCCACACCTGGACTCAGCACAGCTCTTCTTGGTGAATGGCTCTTGGGAAAAATATCTGCTTGATTTCAGCAAAACTTAAACAAGTAACCCTAGCTTCAATGAACAGTTAGGCATAGATGTAGGGGGAGGATTTGGCCAGGGATGGTCTGTCCTTCTCACCGGTGAACTCATAAACAAACCATCAAAATGCAGTGTTTTGCCAAAAGGAAAGATTTAGGAATGAAACATGAAAATTACACCCAAGTGCTATGGTTGTAGGCACACTTATGCCCATTTTTTGCACAGGAGAACTCACTCGAGGTTCCTTCCAGGGGCTCCTGCAGGTCCAGGTAAATGAGATATTTGTTGCTTCTTCTCCTGGTCTGCTGGGAACCTGATTATACACTGCTAATGTTTTCTCTTTCATTTCAGGACTTGGCTGCACTTCAGAAACAGATGCCATTTCTTAATGGTCAAAATGATTTCTGTTGTCAATCTGTATGCACAGCTAGAAACAACACAACAGTGAGGTAGAGGCCTCCTGGTCTGAAAATGAGATGGGGAGCTTGGAAGTCCTACAGTGTGCTTTATATTCAGTTACAGGGTATATAAAATTATGCAGTATGTGCATTGACGTAACATCATTAACTATACACTTAAAAACCTTTACTTTCCAAGGTCATAAAAAATAAAAATCTCAAAGTAGACCTGTGCTAAGTGAAAATAGTGGACCAAGTTCATTAGAAGCTCATTGTCCTGCTGTCCCAGACAAACAGTAGGTTAGCAATAAATATACAGTGATCCTTGGATAGCTTTTTATTTACTGTTTTGACACCAGAAGTCATTTATGTGAGGTGTTCGAAGCATCAGATGAAGGGAGGAGTAAGCTGCCCTCTGTTCTGCCTTTGAGCATGGAGGTGAGGAGCCCTCTGGGGAGCTGGTTCGCAGCTTCGGGCCGTGGCAACATCTGGGCTGACCCAAGATAACAGCTCAGTGGCCATAAAGTTTGGGTGCACTCACTCTCGGGCACTGCCATACCCGCAGTTAAAACCATCTGGTGACTTTAAAAGGAGCAGACTTAGGGCTGGAGGTGAGTGCTCTGCAAAATCCCACGTATTACCTACCGCTCATGGATCGTCTCCACAAGCCTTTAAAGGAAGCGTTTGGGCTGATCAGGGCCTAGGTACACACCCGTCTTCTCTGGCAAGTTTTGCAGCTTCCTGGGAACAAAAAGCTGCCAAGGATGGGTGGTTGCTGACATCCACCCCCGCAAACTGGAAGCCTGTTTGACTGTCTCAGGGCAAATGGCCTGGCAGTGACCATAGGCCATGCTTCGAGCGGCTGCTGTGGAGAGCAAGCTGTGGAAAACACATGAAAAAAAATGAGCAAAGGGTTTTCGTCCCTCTTCACCACCTCAGTAAAACAGCCTGGGCTAATGTCTCATCCCTCAGGCTTTCTGTCACTCCTTTTCTGGTGTTCTCAGTCTTCCCACCCGCTAAATGCCTATCTGCCAGCACACTGCAGACTGACGGCGCATCTCTTTGTAGTTGCTCATACTGGGCAAAAAAAAACCCTCCGCTTGTTGAAAGATGCTTTAATTGAATTTTGTGAAAGCAAATCTTCTGAATGACAGTGCTGGAAAGATGAGGCCTGCATATATTAAAGAAGATAGAAGGGCAGATAAGTAGGCCCAGCATGTAGGCCTCCGTCACATCTATTCAACGGAAATAATTCACACTTCATATTTTTTAAGTGCCCAATCTCACATTTTCAAATGACTTCAATTTTACAGTCACTTAACAGATTGCCTCCAGTTTTGCCTTATCTCTTCAGTCTCTATTAATAAATAAACCAGGCCAGGGACCATTTGCTGGCCCCGAGGCAAAGCGGCACGGCACAGCCGCCATCTGTATGGCTGCGCTCTCTTTCTGCCCCTATGCATCAAGGCCGAGTAAAAACCCTTGTGAACAGTCCTTGGCCTGGACAGTGCTGCTTGGCACAAGCCAGCAGTAATGGGGTGCATGCTAAAAAGCGAACATGCCCACAGTCGTGTGCCCAGGTCTGAACCTCCACTCCAGCCCCATTTTGTTGACCGGGATGGGGGTCCTCAGTGAGAATGGCTTTCTGTCCAGTTCCAGTTCTCTAAATCTTGCCAATGTTTAGATATTTGTAATGTATGTTCCTAAGTAGCACAGATGGAAAAACTTCATATTTTTCATTAATTTATGTCAAGACTTATCTGGTTCATTTTCCACTGGTGCACTTGAGGGTTGCAGTCAAGGGGTGGTGGCGCACAGCACAGAGTACAACATCTAGGAAAACCCAGCCAAATACAAATAATCCTGAAAATTAACATCTGCACAGCCACTTATGCTTTCAGTCTGCAGAATAAATAAATAAATAAATAAATAAATAAATAAATAAATAAATTTTGTTTTGTTTTATTCGTTTTGTTTTGTTTTGTTTTTCATCAGTGATCTTGTCAGCACCTTCTAGAAGAAAGCTGGTCAGCATCCTCCAATGGTCAAGGACCAGGAAGGTTTCCAACAGGACAAGGTAAGTCTGATAAACCATCAGGAAGAAATTAAACCTGGAGAGACCATTATTTTGCTATTTCTTCTTCACTAAATACCATCCAGACTCGGACAGCTTGAGCCCCAGTGTAAATGGGGTTGCAGGCAGGTGATATTTGCCAAGTTTTGCCAGGCAACCCCGCATAGCCAAAGTTCATGGGCAGGTTCCTCGGGCGCCTGAGTGCTGTAGTACTTTTCATCTGGCTCTCAAGAAGCACTTAGAAAAGCAGGAACGATGCTCTGCTCTGCTCAGAATCTCTTCCACAGGATTTATTTGCCTATAGCCTGGAAAGCAATTAACAAGTTGCATTACTCCTGAAGCTGGTAATAGACACTTCAAGTGTTGAGTGTATCTCTATTAGCTCTCTGCTGTAACCATTCTTAGGACTTGACAAGGGCTGACAGCTTGGAGATGTATTATCTGCCATTACTTTGCATAATTACTATTCACCCAAAAAGTCCTTATTGAATTTACATAGTTATAATATAGTTGGCAACCCACACAGCTAATGGATTACACACTGGTGGCAGAAGCAGGTTTTAGAGCAGTTTATTTATTTAATAGGCAAAAAAGTATGAAGAGCCAGGTTATGATTCATGTAATTCATTGCCATTGACTTATAAGTGTTTAATACAAGGCCTTCAGCACACCAGTGAAAAATGAGAGCACCTCTAGTCTAGTGATGATAGCTTGAATGTCAGGAATTCAGGATTTTAGCCCCAGAATTCATCTTTTTAACTTCTTCCATATTAGCTAAAATGGAAGCTATCACACCTGCCAGAGGAGCTGAAAGAGAATCTGCCCCTCACTTCCCCATGTGGGTTCCCCAGGAGTCCCAGCATGAGCATCCCCTTTTAAGCTCTTGCTTTCCCTACCGTGCAGATGGTCAGAAAACAGCTGTAGGCTTTGGGCTGAGCTCTGTGTGCTGCCACAATCTGCCACAAACACCTGCGTACCCTGCTCAGTGGTATCAGAGACCTTGTCTCCTTGGGGCTGCCTCTGCAAGCACAGCTCATCGGCAGGGTCTCTCACTGTGTCTGTGACAGAGCTGGAAGACGGAGCAGTGCTGGGGTTGCTGGAGTCTAATCTCTGCTGTTTTTATCAGATCTTTACAGATCATCCTTGCCTGTGTGTGTTAGAAGTCCTCTGAGCATTGACAGTGGGATTAATTGGTCTTCCCCCATGTTTGAGGTATTTGTTATGATGCTTCATCTCTATTCAGTCATCCAACACAGGCTGAACTCAGTCTGCAGCCTTCCCTCAGTACAGGCACTAATGGGATCTGCTTTCTTTTCCTATTGTGATGAAACCTATGGGAAATAAATATCTTTGCTACTTACTGATGTCTCCTGACTATCCATATGAATGCACAGTTTTGTGTGGGTATTGCACTTGACTCAGCTTATCTCAAGGCTATCACATCAGTCAGGGGATATTCCCTAGGAAGGGAGTATTTCTTAATCATGTTCATTTAATCCATTTCACCATACTGCTAATCTTAGCGTAGGAGGACCTCCCAAAGTGCTCTTGTACATAACAAATATGAGCAGCCTTCATCTGACTTCAGCAATGCTTCCTCCCATGGAGGAGCATTGAAACCATGCTGGAATCCTTGAAATGGTTACAGCTGTCCAGCAAACCAATGCAGGTGAAAGTTGGTTTTGTCAAAAGAAACAAACAAACAAACAAAGTCCTATTTTTCACGTGCTCAGAGCCCAGCTGGTTCTTCCCTCTGGACCGGCTTTCCAGAGTAAGTAAGGAAGAAAGACACACACGTGGCTCCATCAGCCAAGTGTTGCCCCCAGAAGTCTGTTCCCAATGCAGGGGCCAGCACAAAGGCACAGGTTTTAGTGATTAAGACATTCGGCACTGGTATTATATTTCCCTATGAGTCTTGCTCATGAAGGACTTTGGACAACCTTTTGGCCTTCCCCCCTTGGATAAGCAGAACCATGCAAGAATAATAGGAACATGAGAACCTTCAATAGCACAGACTCCCTCGGACTGAGCTCTCTGGACTTAAAAAGTCTCACACTACACAACAACCGCAGGACAGACAGACGGGAAATGCTACCAGCCGCAGCGGCTGCTGGCATGAGGTTGCTCTCCTGCTCCCTCAGCAGTTTTTTTCCAGCCTTCTTCTGATTCATCAGCACCAGCCACTCACATCTTCATGTGCACTGTGGCCCCACTTAGCTTATTCCAGAGGAGGCGGAATTCCTGACCATCATTCTTTTTCTTTTCTCTTTCTTCCTAATCAGATACACTTTGCTTTGCAAAGGCTGTTGGAAAAACATTTCGTTTCTCAGCACCAAAGCCAGCAAGTGTTGGCAGATTTGTAGCACATCACGATGGTGTGTGGTGGTTCCAAAGAACAATGAGTACCTACAACACCTGAACGGGGTCAAGACTTACACCATAGATGATGCACAACGGCTGCATGAAAGAGCAGAGTGCTTCAACTAAACAAGATAAAGACACTGCGAGCACTGCATCACTGCTTTGAGTTTTCTCATTCCTTCCTCTTGATCGTGGTCCATCTCAACCATTGCTCATTTCTCATGAAAAGAGAATGTAATTTGGTTCAGTTTCAGTAAGTTTCATGAAAATTTTGTCCCCGTGTAGATACCTCCATCCATCTATTTTTAATAGCATGTTGATTTTCTATGTGCTGTGCCGCAGCAGGCAGGGTACAGCTGGAACTCCTTTTCAGTAGAAATCCGTGCTCAAGGCCTTTAGAAACTGTCATGCTTTGAGGACACACAGAGATGACATCTCTGAGAGATGTCCTGTTCTGGTCAAAGCCAGCTGCCTCAAGGGAGGCCAAGAGCCCCAGCTCTGTGGTGGACAACAGGCAGGGCAGGAAGACAACTCCACCAACACCCAGCTGTTGGTTTCACAGTGACCAGTGATGTGGGACTGGTGGCTACAAAATAATCTTTATAGGAACAGGAATTCAACTCCTGCTTTGACCTATCAGTTATGCTAAGACTATACTAAGATGGAGCGCAGATTACTCCAGACAGATGTCCTCTTTCTGTCAATTACTTGCAAATATGCAGACTTTCATGGTGTGCTGGTAAAAACTTTTTAGCCCTATCTGTACTAACTCTTAAATCATTACTGCAGAGCACAGTTGTGGCTTTTTGTTGTTGTTGATGTTGTTTGTTTTGTTTTTCTTCTGAATAGAAAAAGATCTCGGATAGCCAGGTGATAACCTTGATGGAGAAAGACACTATGGCATAAAAGATCTAAAATGGATTAGTGACATGCACTGCCCAACAGAGATATCAGCCTGAGCCATGTTAATGAACACCTTTACAAATCTCTTTTAAAATTGTTTAATGCCATAAAGATTACTGGTTAGATGAGCCCTAGAGCTCTTTCAAGATGCCCATTATTGTACTATTGGATTGCATGCATATTTAAATTAAATTGCATTTTAAGTTCTGGCACATTTGCCTGTTAAACATTTACACATTTGAGATTTTAACAGCCCTGTTTTTTTGCTGTATGGAGTAAAAAGGGTAGCTGGGGGACTTTGGACAACTACACTGAACTTTAAACATATGGATGTGGGCAGGGAGGGTCTGCTGTCATTATTCTCTGCTTTCTCTGGTTAACAAATATGGTTTTGGATTCAGCAGTAGCCACCAGTTTCTTGAGAGGTCAGGGGCTTAAAGCTTGTCTCGGTAAAAGATGCTCTGTTAAGTTACTGCATATTGTCCATTTGTTAGTTTTGTTTATGCACATCTCTAGACCTTAAGATGTCAGACATGACTAGTTTCATAAATAAACTACCTGTTCTATTCAAACCTTTTCAGATCAGATTTGTTGTATTGCATATTTCCAGACCAGTCAGGGAAGAGCATTTTCCAGTGTAAGCATTTAAACTTTTTACAAGGGAAGACACATGACTGTAACAATCTCTGTTTTGTGAATTCCTCTTCCTAAACCTGAAAGACAATTTATAATGTGCTTAAAGTTCCTCCAAGAGAGAATTGGGCCATGTGCTTTTAGCCATTTAAAGCACCAGTAAAATGCAGTATCCAGCATACAAAGGGTAATCTCACTACTTCATAAACTTTCTCTCAGAATCCTACAGCTCTTCCATTTACTTTTTTTTTAATTTTTGTATTTGGGAGCTTGTCACTGGCAGATGCTGAGACAGCGCTGCGGTGATTGAACATCAAGAATCAAGTCTCACAGCCCTCACCAGAACATGGCCAGGCACCACCCTGAGGCTTCAAATATCAGGTTAAGGTTTAATCACTGATCCAATTATCCTTTGTGAATAAAGAGGTATACCAGCTGGTTAATATTTCACCATCTTTTGGACTTACTGTTCAAAACGGCTGCTAAGTAGAAAATGTGACAGCAGCCTTGTATTTGGGGATGAGATGGCCCAAGACAAAAAGACAAGGAGGATATTTTCCTGCAGACTCAATTAATTTGTACAGTAAGTTAAGATGAGGATGTTATGTGTAGAGGATGTCTCCAAGGTGTTAATGTCATTTAGGCAAGTTGTGGGGGTTTGTGTGTGGGCACAGTGCAAGCTCCCCAGGTGACAGAGAGAGGTTGTTTACTCAGTTATTCAAACAGGACAGCTCTTGAGTGACAGCTGTCATTATGGCAGGCTGAGTTTGCAGATCTTCTCTTGTTTACAATGAAGTAGGAGCTAGGAGTGCCTCCTACACCATCTGATATACCTTCTGGATAATGGAGAGCTGTTAAATATCTCTGGTTACATTGCTTTGCCTAATTGAAGTCACTCTGGTGACATGATGTCTAATTATTTCTTGTAAGAACCTGGTCACACATTACCTATCTCTTGCTAAGCATTTCTAATGAACACTACATGGTTATTTTGCTTAGCTGAATTCTATGTATTGAATTAAACCCTTTCAACCAGTGAAGTCAGCACAACTCATTTGGTTCTTTTAATCTGGTCTATTCAAAAGTTATTGTTACAGTTATAAAGTTAGATTTGTCATGTGAATGAAGAATGCATTTAGATACCTCTTAAACTCAAGGCACTTCATAGCCACATTGTATTTACTACTGGAGTACAACTCTGGTGTCACTGAACCTAGAAAGGAGCTAAATCAGTAGTTTAACTTGCCACGTTTCAAGGAAAAGTCATTGAAAATTCAGTGAACAAATACCACTCAAATAATTTTCTGAAATAACCCTTGCATGCTCAGTGGTGTAGTTCAGCTTTGCCATCAGTTACATGGAGCAGGACCGTCTCCTCGACGAGACTCTAACCACACAGGGTCCAGCCTCTTACTATTCAGTGCAGGAAAAAAAATGTGACAAAGTCTTATCCAGGTGTGTCACACCACTGTGGTGTGGGAAGTATGAGGACCTACAGCACAACGCATGGACTCAGGAGGGTGTCTCAGCACAACCCTCTGGTGTATCTGCCCCTCCCCCCGGTCTTGTGCCATCTGCAGACTTCTGCCCCATCATGCAGGTCACTAATGAAGATCCTAAACAGGACTGGATCCAGTATTGACCCCTGGCGTATGCTGCTAGTTACTGGCCTCCACCTAGACTTTGTGCCACTGATCACCAGCCACCCTTGTGGGCTCGACCATTCTGTCAGTTTTCAGTGCACCCCACTGACTGCCCATCCAGCCCATACATATACAGCTTGTCTACAAGAAACTTACAGAAGATGGTGTGAAAGGCCGTACTGAAGTGCAGGCAGACAGTATCCATGCTCCCCCTTCATCTACCAGGCCAGTCCTTTCATTGCAGAAGCTTATCGAGTTGGTCAAGCAGGACTTCCCTGTGGTGAATCCCCGCCATCTTCTTTGCCTACAAGGGTAGCCAGGAAGCGATTACCCTCCCTGTATTTCTGCCACGTTTTCTCACCCTTTTTCTTCCTATTCTCTTCCTCATGCCCCTCAGGGTGAGGGAAAGGAAGGTGACTGAGCGGCTGGTCAGGTGCCTTGTTGCCCATCCAGGGCCAACCCACCCCACTGTAATCCCCCGTTTGGTAGAGGAACCTTGAGCAGGCTCCTCACCCTCGCCCTTGCTCTCCCACTTGGGCATTCCCCATTGCCTCCAGCCCACCCCTAGCACGAGGGCTGTTTGCACACACATGACAATGACAGAATCCACCACCACAGCCAAAGCTCTTTCTGGACTGTCACTGGCACCACAACCACGGCAGTGCTGGGCAAGTGTGCTGGTTTTACTCATGGGTGGCTGAGCTCCACCACAACCGCTCTCTCACTCCCCATCCTCAAAGAGGAATGGGGAGAAAATATGATGAAAAGGGCTCAAGGGTTGAGATAAGGACGGGGAGATCGCTCAACAGTTATCATGACAGGCAAAACACACTCAGCATAGGGAGATAGTTTTATTGCCTATTACTAACAAGTTAGAGAAGTGAGAAACAAAGGAAAAAAACAAAAACGCCTTCCCCCCATCCGCCCTCTTCCACCTTCTCCCCCCAAGAGGTGAAAGGGAATGGGGGAATGGGGCTGTGGTCAGTCTATAGCACTTTGTCTCCGCTGTTCCTTCTCAGTCACTCTTGTCCCCTGTGCTGTGGGGTCCCACCAACGGGATGAAGTCCTTGCTGAACTGATCTGGCTTGGACTTTCCACAGGCAGCAGCCCCTAAAGAACTGCTCCAGATATGGATCCGTACCATGGAGGTCCATCCCACAGGAGCAAACTGCTCCAGCACTGGTCCTCCACAGGCAGCAGCTCCCCCCAGACCTGGCCATGGACCCTGCTGAGCTGATCTGTCCTGGCCCTGCTTGCTGCTGCCAGCTGGTTTAGCTCAGCTCAGGGAGGGCCACCTCATCCCCACTGTGCCTGCATCACAAACGTTGCCATGGCTGCACGCTGCTGTCATCACAGCTGGTGACGGATGACAGCCCCGAGTCCATGCGCATCACAATCGGGGGCGGTTTATGTAAGCGGGGCTGAGCGAGGCTGGCTGCCATTTTGCCGCGAGCTGACAAGTGAAGAGGGACAAGCTTGAGCAGGGCAGGTGGAGCAAGGGGACCGTGAGTGCGGTCCACCTGATCCTCCTCAAGCCAGCCGAGTTTGGCTCTCTGTGGCACGTCACAGGCATGGCTGATATGTGGGGAATGAGCTTCTTCCCCAGCCCAGAAGCTTTCTGGGCCTTCTACTCCTTCTTGTGGCTGCTACTGATGGCAGTTGCCTGCTACTTCCTGATGCCCGGGGCGAAGCCGCAGGTAGGAGTCAGGGCTGGTGCTGAGGCAGGCCCTGCCTGGGAGGGGAGGCCGTGTCCCAGCCGGGCCTGGCCAGCCTGGGCCAGGAGGCTTGGGGCAGGCACGGGCCTGGCCCTGGCCATGCCTTGGGTTTGTGGGTGCTGCTGAGGCTGCTGTGGACTCCCTCTCACCCGCTGCTTTCTGTGCCCATGTAGGAAGGGAGGAAGACAAGGCACCACTGCAGAAGACACCAGGAGAATCGCAGAGGTGAGCAGCGCTGGGCAAGGGCAGGTGCCCTGCAAAGACACTGCCTGACCCCATGTGCCCGCCGCCCCCCCACAGCCTCCCCATCCACTGACTCTCTGTCTTCTCTGCCAGCAGTTTGGACCCTCCACAACTCTTCATGGTGCAAGAGGAACCAGTAAGTGGAATCGTCACCCCTGGGATGTGACAGCCCCCTCTAGTCACTCCCCACCAAAGGAGGTCCTGCTAATGCTTCCCTTTGCCCCTTTGCAGATGTCCTGAGCATGCAAAGGTGGATGGAGTCCAGGAACTAGCCAAACTGTTCAGCAGGAACCTTGAGGACTTCAACAAATGCATGGAAATGTGAGACAACGGAGGAGGGGAAGGGGAAGGGGATGGGGATGGGAACAGGGACAGGGTTTGGGGGCATGGATGAGTGCAACAGATTGTGGGGGCACAGGGACACTTGCAGACTAAAATCCAAGGAGCAATGCCCTTGCAGAAGGATTTAGCGCTGAGGCACAGAGATAGCAGTGTCCCCTCTCTTTCTGGGCCAGATGGAGTTTCTGTGCCCAGCCGGCAGAGAGGGAGCCTTGGGCAAGGGACCACAGGGTCTCTTGGGGGACCCCAGAGAAATGACACAGCCTGCCAGCTCCTTCGGGACAGAGGGAGAGTCCCACGGTGCTCAGGAGTGCTTGACTCAGCATTCCCATCATCTTCCTTCTCCTTCTCCTCCTCCACACAGGCTTGACTTGGAGTTGCCAGAGGACAGCCGTGAGTCTACCACTTCTGACATAGAGAGTGACACCAGCTGCTCTTCAGTGATGTCTCTGGACTCTTGGCACACCATCTCCTGCACTAGTATCATGGAGAACAAAAGCACACAGATTTCATGGCCATCTACCCCCACTCCTGTGCAGAAAGCAGACTCACTTCATGGTTCTGAGGTCCAACCTGGCCTCATGCATCCCAAGGCTGGCCCTGGGAAGCAGCGTGACCATGACACTCGCCCACCCTGCATAGAAGAGGTGGTCAGATGCCACAGGGCCAGCAGTGTGCAGCAAAACCAGCAACATGTCCAGGTCCAGCAGGCTGCTCCCACCCATCCTCCAGCGGTGCCTAAATTCCAGTCCACAAAACTGGAGGCACAAAAGGAGACCCAGGAGACCCAGGAGACCTTGGACTGCTTCCCCCCAAAAAAGAAAGAGGAGCAGAAACAGGGCCTGCCAGCTGATGTGGACAAGCCTTCAAAAGACCCTGCCTCTGCTTCAAAAATATCTAAGCGAGCAGAAAAGCCTACTTTGAAGGTGATTCCCATGGTGCGGGAAATGCCCTGTGTGGACAAGACCGTGGAAAGACATCTGGAGGGGCCTGATATACAAAAGAAGATAAAAAGATTCTTCAGGATGACAAGAAAGTTCCTGGCTTCCATGAAGAGATTTTTCAGCTACATCCGGGGGCAAAAAGACTCTCAGACTGAGGCTCCACAGAGGAACACCAGGCAGCGCCACTGCTCACCCTTCCAGCACTTTCAGCAGCACGCTCACACCACAAAGTCGGCAGTGCAGCTGTCAGAGCAGACCCCTGGCCCTCAGCAAGAGGCAGCAGCCCCCAAGGACAAATTCACCCAGGGGATGAAGGAGCCTGTCCACTCTGTGCCAGCAACTATTCCGAAAGTGGCACAAGGGATGAAGCCTCAGGACGGTGGGGACAAACCCCGACAGAAGACGGGGTGTGGAGGAAGAGCCAACGGCAGCAGCACGACCAGCAAGATGACCCTGCCTGGCACCAGCAAGAAGAACCGGGGCCCTGGGGCAGCAGGGCTTGTTTGCAGTCCTTCCCCTTCCACACAGGCAGAGCAGGCATCGCCACAGAGCAAGGGAGCTCCACGGGGTCAATCAGATAAGAAGGGTGATGGCCCCAGCATCTCCGCTACGGGGGACATGGGGACACCAGCACCTCCAAGAAGAAGGCGCCCACGGAGAAAACACAGCTTCAGTGGGGACAGACCCTCAGCTCTGCCACGACCTCCACACCACGTTTGGATTGCTCTTGATATGCCCCACATGACAAAGGTCCCTGCAGCACGAAAAGAATGCCGCAAAGCCAAACAAAATGATAAAGATCTGGAGAAGCAGGTGCAGGCTTCACAGTCGAAGCAACTCCCAGACAATGCGGGGCAAGCAAGGGTGGATACAGCAGCAGAGGGCACTGGGGCTGTGCCACGCAGAAGACACAGAAGGGCACGGAAGGACAAGGGATGTTCCCAGGACAGATCTGTCTTCGCAAGACTCCGCCCTAAGTGCATCAAAGCCACCTTGGTCCCAAAGGAGAGAATCTGGAGGTGCCGTTCCCCTGAGGCTTTCAGAGGCAGCATGGGCTGCCAAGCTCCCTGGAGGTCAGTGTGACAGAATCATAACCTCATAGAATAAGAGAATAGCTTGGTTTGGAAGGGGCCTTAAAGATCATCCTATTCCAAGCCCCCTGCCATGGGCAGGGATGCCACCCACTAGATCCGGTTGCCCAGGGCCTCATCCAGTCTGCCCTTGAACATCTGTAGGGTTGGGGTATCTACAACTTCTCTGGGCAACCTGTGCCAGTGCCTCACCACCCTCTGAGAGAAAAATTTCCTCCTAAGGTCTAGTCTAAATCTTTTAATTTAAGACCATTCTCCCTTGCTCTATCGCTATCCACACAAGTTAAGAGCCTTTCCCCATCTGTTTTATAACACCCCTTCAAGTATGAAATGGTCATAATGAGGTCTCCCTTGAGCCTTCTCTTCTTCAGGCTGAACATCCCCAGCTCTCAGCCTTTCTTCATAGGAGAAGTGCTCCAGCCCTCTGATCATCTTTGTAGCCCTCCCCTGGACCTGCTCGACCAGCCCCACATCCTTCTTGTGCTGGGGGCCCCAGACCTAGGCACAGTGCTCCAAATGGGGCCTCACAAGGGCAGAGCAGAGGGGGACAGTCACCTCCCTGCACCTGCTGGCCACTGCTCTGCTGACGGAACCACAGGACACAGTTGGCCTTCTGGTCTGCAAGCACACACTGCTGGCGCATGTTGAGCTTCTCACCCACCAGAACCCCCAAGTCCTTCTCTGCAGGGCCGTTTTCAATGAGTTCTCTCAGTCCATCCTCAAGTCTGGGATTGCCCTGACCCAGGTGCAGCACCATGCGTTGAACCTCTTGTTGAACCTCATAAGGCTTCTGTGGGCCCACTTCTTTAGGCTGTCTAGGTCCCTTTGGATGGCATCCCTTCCTTCTGTTGTATCAACTGCACCACTCAGCTTGGTGTCATCTGCAAACTTGCTGAGGGTGGACTCGATCCCACTGTCTATGTCACTGATAAACATATAAAACAGTGCTGGTCCCAGGACAGACTCCTGAGGAACACTGCTCGTCACCAGTCTCCACCTGGACATTGACCACCACTCTGGGTGCAACCTTCAAGCCAACTCCTTGTTCTCTAAATGGTCTACCCATCAAATCCATGCCTCTCCAATTTGGAGACCAGGATGTCATGCTGAACCGTGGCAAAAGCCTTACAGAAGTCCAAGTAGATGACGTCAGTCAGTCCTCCCTTGTCAGCTGATGCAGACACTCCATCACAGAAGGCCAGCAGATTCGTAAGGCATGGTTTGCCCTTGGTGAAGCTCTGCTGGCTGTTACAGATCACCTTCTTGTCGTGCATGAGCCTTCACATTGCCTCCAGGAAGATTCATTCCATGATCTTCCCAGGCACATACATGAGGCTCACAAGTGTGTAGCTCCCCAGGTCTTCTTTTCACAGAATCACAGAATCACAGAATCTCTAGGTTGGAAGAGACCTCAAGATCATCGTGTCCAACCTCTAACCTAACACTAACAGTCCCCACTAAACCATATCCCTAAGCTCTACATCTAAACATCTTTTGAAGACTTCCAGGGATGGTGACTCCACCACCTCCCTGGGCAGCCCGTTCCAGTGCCTAACAACCCTTTCAGTAAAGAAATTCTTCCTAACATCTAACCTAAAACTCCCCTGGCGCAACTTTAGCCCATTCCCCCTCGTCCTGTCACCAGGCACATGGGAGAACAGGCCAACCCCCACCTCACTACAGCCTCCTTTAAGGTATCTGTAGAGTGCGATAAGGTCGCCCCTGAGCCTCCTCTTCTCCAGGTTGAACAAGCCCAGCTCCTTCAGCCGCTCCTCGTAGGACTTGTTCTCCAGGCCCCTCACCAGCTTCGTCGCCCTTCTTTGGACCTGCTCAAGCACCTCGATGTCCTTCTTGTAGCGACGGGCCCAAAACTGAACACAGTACTCAAGGTGCGGCCTCACCAGAGCCGAGTACAGGGGGACGATCACCTCCCTAGCCCTGCTGGCCACACTGTTTTTGATACAAGCCAGGATGCCATTGGCCTTCTTGGCCACCTGAGCACACTGCTGGCTCATATTCAGCCGACTGTCCACCATCACTCCCAGGTCCTTCTCTGCCTGGCAGCTCTCCAACCATTCGTCTCCCGGCCTGTAGCTCTGCTTGGGGTTATTGCGCCCCAGGTGCAGGACCCGGCACTTGGCCTTGTTAACGTCATGCAGTTGACCTCAGCCCATCGGTGCAGCCTATCCAGATCCTCCTGCAGAGCCTTCCTACCCTCGAGCAGATCGACACACGCACCTAACTTGGTGTCATCTGCGAACTTACTGAGGGTGCACTCAATGCCGTCGTCCAGATCATTGATGAAGATGTTAAAGAGGACCGGCCCCAGCACCGAGCCCTGGGGGACGCCACTAGTGACTGGCCTCCAACTGGACTTCTACCCCTTTTTCTACCCCTTTTAAAATTTTAAAAACTTTCCCTTTTTCCATTCACTGTGGGCTTCACCTCACTGTCATGATTTTTCACATATGATGGAGCCAATTCCTTCGGGACCCTAGGATGCGTGTCATCAGGCCCCATAGACTTGTCGTAGTTAAGTTGCATCAGGAGGTCCCAAACCTGCTCTTCCTTACAGCTGGAAGGACTCTGCTTCCCCAGCCCCTGCCTAAAGATCTGGGGACACAAGGGATGTGGGAAGCATGACCACTAGTGTAGATTGAGGCAAAGAAGTTGCTAAGTACCTCTGCCTTCTCCACATCTGTTGTTAGCAGTTCTCCATCTTCATCAGCCAGAGGCGCTACACTCTCCCTAGTCCTTCTTCTGTGGCCAAAGTACCTGTAGAATCCCTTTATGTTATTCTTTGCATCTCTTGCCAAGTTCAGTTCTGTCAGTGCCTTGGCTTTCCTGATCCCATCCCTGCACATCCAGAGAGAATTACTGTACTCTTTCCAGGGCACAAAGCCCTCTTTCCATCGTCTACGTGTTTCCTTCTTTTGCCTAAGCTTTACCAGCAGATCCTTATTCAACCATGGCGGTTTCCTGCCTTCCTGGTTTGATGTGTTACAAATGGGAATACAGAGCTCTTGCACTCCAGGGAAGATATCCTTAAAGAGTTGCCAGCTCTGATCAGATCCTCTGACCAGCTGGGGTATGGTCACTGCAACCTAGGCTTCCTCCAATCTTAACTTCTTTAATAAGCTCCTTCTTCACTGGTGAGCACCAGGTCCAGTAACACTTCTCCGCTGGTTGGTTTGTCTAATATGTGGAATAGGAACTAGTCCTCAGTGGACTCCAGAAGTCTCCTGGATTGCTTACTGCCTGCCATGCGGCTTTCCCAGCAAACATAGGTGTGATTGAGATCCCCCAGGAGGATGAGAGACTGTGAGCATGATGCTTCCTGATCATCTAGCTCCACTCCCCTGCCATGGGTCTCTAAGGTCTCGAAACCGCTCTTCACTTATAGTGGGTGGGACTTTGATCCCCCCCCAACCTCCATCTGCGGGTTCAGGGAAACAAAAGACTTGAGAAGCCTGTCTTTCAGTGAAGACGGAGGCAAAGAAGTTGTTGAATACCTCTGCTTTCTCCATGTCTATTGTCACCAGAAGTTGAGATGACAGAGGTCCCAGTGCCCGTTCTTCCGTATGCACTAGGACAGGCAGTGTGAGCCTGGGAATAGCAGACAGATGCCTTCTTGCTGTGGAAAGGGGTGGGCTCATCTCCAAAGTCCCTGCCTCTCTGTTTCAAGGAGGATCACGGTTGTGCCTAGGAGATAACCCCAAACCCCTTGGAAGGTGCTGGGATCAGAGTCCTGAGCTCTGGGGCTCACTAGGAGCTCTACATGCCCAAGCACTTACTGAGGCAAGAAAACAGACAAGAAGGTGGACATGAGCAGGAACCCTAAGTGGGAGGAAGAGGGCAGTGACAGCTGGCAGAGAGGAGTGATAAAGAAGAGATCTTGCAGATCTCACTCCATTTCACTAAGTGTTTAAATGTTTATCACCTTTACTTCCCAATACGCAAACCAATAGTTGGATGTCTAAGATTCAGTGAATTTCCCCAAGCTGAGTCACAGAATCACAGACTAGTTTGAGGTTGGCAGGGACCTCTGGAGCTCATCTGGTTCAGTGTCCCTGCTCCAGCAGACACCCGGAGCAGGGTGCCCAGCACCACATCCAGGCGGCTTTTGAAGGTCTCCAAGGAGGAGACCCCACAGCCCCTGGGCAACCAGTGCCAGTGCTCGGTCACCCTCGTATCCAGTACTGACCCCTGGAGTATGCCGCTAGTTAATGGCCTCCACCTAGACTTTGTACCACTGATCACCAGCCACCCTTGTGGGCTCGACCATTCTACCGTTTTTCAGTGCACCCCACTGACTGACCATCCAGCCCATACATCTACAGCTTGTCTGCAAGCTTATTGAGTTGCTCAAGCAGGACTTCCCTTTGGTGAATCCCTGTCATCTTCTTCGCCCATGAATGGTAGTCAGGGAGCGATCGCCTTGCCTGCATTTCAGCCACATGTTTTCTTGCTCTTTATCTTCCTAGTTGGCCCTACCTAGTGAGAAGCCAGAGGTCTTGTAGGGCCCTGCGCAGGGCCAGCTCTTGGCACTGGGGTGGGTTGGCCATGGCCCCACTGCACTGAGCTGTCCTGGCTGGCAGGGCTAGATGCTGCCTGGTGCTCGGGTGAAGGTCACCTCCTCGGGTTTAGCTCAGCTTGGGGAGGGCCACCTCATCCCCGCTGTCCCTGCAGCACAAACATTGCCATGGCTGCGCGCTGCTGTCAGCACAGCTGGTGAGGGATGACGACCCCACGTCAACGCGCATCCCAGAGGGCGGTGGTTATGGTCATATAAGTGGGGCTGAGCGAGGCTGGCTGCCATTTTGCCGATGAGCTGACAAGCAAAGAGGGACAAGCTTGAGCTGGGAAGGTGGATCAGGGAGAGGGGTCAGCAGGGCAGCAGCTGCCCTCTGCCCCTTTGCAGATGTCCCCCACCGAGCATGCAAATGAGGATGAATTGTCTGAACTAGCCAAACTGTTCAGCAAGAACTTTGAGGACCTCAGCAGATACACGGAAATGTGAGGCCACTGAGGAGGGGATGGGGATGAGAACAGGGACAGGGTTTGGGGGCATGGGTGAGTGCAATGGCTTGTGGGGGCACAGGGAAATTTGCGAACTAAAATCCATGGAGCAATGCCCTTGCAGAAGGATTTACCGCTGAGGCACAGAGATAGCAGTGTCCCCTCTCTTTCTGGGCCAGATGGAGTTTCTGTGCCCAGCCGGCAGAGAGGGAGCCTTGGGCAAGGGACCACAGGGTCTCTTGGGGGACCCCAGAGAAATGACACAGCCTGCCAGCTCCTTCGGGATAGAGGGAGAGTCCCAGGGTGCTCAGGAGTGCTTGGCTTAGCATTCCCATCATCTTCCTTCTCCTTCTCCTCCTCACACAGGCTTGACTTGAAGTTGCCAGAGGACAGCGGTGAGTTTCTCACTTCTGACACAGAGAGTGATACCAGCTGCTCTTCAAGAACATCTCTGGACTCTTGGCGCACCATCTCCTGCACTACCGTCACGGAGGATGAAACCAGACAGATTTCACAGGCATCTATCCCCGCTCCTATTCAGAAAGCAGTCTCACTTCATGCTCGCCCACCCTGCACTAAAGAAGTGGTGGTCAGATGCCACAGGGCCAGCAGTGAGAAACAAAAGCAGACTCAGGAGACCCAGGAGACCCTGGACTGCTTCCCCCCAAAAAAGAAAGAGGAGCAGAAACTGGGCCTGCCAGCTGATGTGGACAAGCCTTCAAAAGACCCTGCCTCTGCTTCAAAAATAACTAAGCAAGCAGAAAAGCCTACTTTGAAGGTGATTCCCATGGTGCGGGAAATGCCCTGTGTGGACAAGACTGTGGATGGACATCTGGAGGGGCCTGAAATACAAAAGGAGATAAAAAGATTCTTCAGGGTACCAAGAAAGTTCCTGGATTCCATGAAGAGATTTTTCAGCTACATCCAGGGGCAAAAAGACTCTCAGACTCTCAGACTGAGGCTCCACAGAGGAACACCAGGCAGCACCACCCTTTTGGCGCTTTCAGCAGCACGCTCACACCACAAAGTCGGCAGTGCAGCTGTCAGAGCAGACCCCTGGCCCTCAGCAAGAGGCAGCAGCCCCTAAGGACGCATTGACCCACGGGTCATTACCATAACAAGAACCAAAAGAACCACAAAAAACGTTTAACTCCGGGAGCCCCCATCCCCTGCCCTGTCTGGCCACGTGCTTCCCCTTACTGGTCCAAGGTTCAGCAGGACCCAGCAGGGCACGGATCCAGCAAGCAGCAGATTTCTGCCAGCCCCACGAGGGAGCGGGGGCTCTCTCAATAAACATGTCAGTGGAAGCAAGCTCACGCGCAAGTGCCTCTAATTTCCTGGGGAAGCGCTGTGGCTCCCCTGCTCACTGCTAGGCCCTCCTTGCATGGGCAAGGCTGGCAGCTCTGTTGGCTGCTTCTGTGGGGACGAGTGGGATGGGGGTGTCCTTCCCCTGAGGCTTTCAGAGGCAGCACGGGCTGCCAAGCTCCCTGGAGGTCAGTGTGACAGAATCATAACCTCATAGAATAAGAGAATAGCTTGGTTTGGAAAGGGCATTAAAGATCATCCTATTCCAAGCCCCCTGCCATGGGCAGGGATGCCACCCACTAGATCCGGTTGCCCAGGGCCTCATCCAGTCTGCCCTTGAACATCTGTAGGGTTGGGGTATCTACAACTTCTCTGGGCAACCTGTGCCAGTGCCTCACCACCCTCTGAGAGAAAAATTTCCTCCTAAGGTCTAGTCTAAATCTTTTAATTTAAGACCATTCTCCCTTGCTCTATCGCTATCCACACAAGTAAAGAGCCTTTCCCCATCTGTTTTGTAACACCCCTTCAAGTATGAAATGGTCATAATGAGGTCTCCCTTGAGCCTTCTCTTCTTCAGGCTGAACATCCCCAGCTCTCAGCCTTTCTTCATAGAAGTGCTCCAGCCCTCTGATCATCTTTGTAGCCCTCCTCTGGACTCAGTCTAACAGGTTCACATTTGTTGTGCTGGGTCCCCAGAGCTGGGTGCATTGCTCCAAGTGGGGCCTCACAAGGGCAGAGCAGAGGGGGACAGTCACCTCCCTGCACCTGCTGGCCACTGCTCTGCTGATGGAACCACAGGACACAGTTGGCCTTCTGGGCTGCAAGCACGCACTGCTGGCTCATGTTGAGCTTCTCACCCACCAGAACCCCCAAGTCCTTCTCCCCGGGGCTGCTCTCAATGTGTTCTTCTCTCAGTCTGTCCTCAAGTCTGGGATTGCCCTGACCCAGGTGCAGCACCATGCGTTGAACCTCTTGTTGAACCTCATTAGGCTTCTGTGGGCCCACTTCTTTAGGCTGTCTAGGTCCCTTTGGATGGCATCCCTTCCTCTGGGCACTCTTGAGCACCCTGGGACTCTCCCTCTATCCCGAAGGAGCTGGCAGGCTGTGTCATTTCTCTGGGGTCCCCCAAGAGACCCTGTGGTCCCTTTCCCAAGGCTCCCTCTCTGCCGGGTGGGCACAGAAGCTCCATCTGGCCCAGAAAGAGAGGGGACAGTGCTATCTCTGGGCCTCAGCACTAAATCCTTCTGCAAGGGCATTGCTCCTTGGATTTTAGTCTGCAAGTGTCCCTGTGCCCCCACAAGCCATTGCACTCACCCGTGCCCCCAAACCCTGTCCCTGTTCCCATCCCCTCCTCAGTGGCCTCACATTTCCATGTATCTGCTGAGGTCCTCAAAGTTCTTGTTGAACAGTTTGGCTTGTTCAGACAATTCATCCTCATTTGCATGCTCGGTGGGGGACATCTGCAAACGGGCAGAGGGCAGCTGCTGCCACGGCAGCCGCCCCAGGCAGTACCACCCGGGCTCCTCTCACTGGCTCAGAGCTGGCACCGGGCGCCTCTGATTGGCTCAGCTTTGGCGGGCCCCAGGAGCGGTTGCCATGCCCGGGAGCCCTTGGGAGCGGGCGTAACAGCCACGGGCGTCTCCTCCCAGAGCGCCGCCATTTGCCAGAATGTGGCCATTTGGGCACAGAACGGGTCACCCCTCGCCTCTGCCGCACGCAGATTTATGAACAACCATCAGAATGCACATTCAGTACATTCAGTACAGGCACGGACACATGCTGAAATGTCGAGGTGTCTCTGTGCTGGCAGCAGGGTGCTGCAGTGACAAGGTGCCCCTATACTCAGACCTGCGCTCTTGAACCACCACAAGACAGAGGGTTACATTACTAACTTAGGTCATTACTAACTCCATTTCATCTCACTACACAGATGTGCTGGGACACGGCCTCCCCTGCCAGGCAGAGCACCCAGCCCAGCTCTGGGGCTGGCCCTGGCTCCTGCTGACCCCTCCCCCTGATCCACCTTCCCAGCTCAAGCTTGTCCCTCTCTTCTTGTCAGCTCATGGGCAAAATGGCAGCCAGCCTCGTTCAGCCCCACTTATATGACCATAACCACCGCCCTCTGGGATGCGCGTTGACTTGGGGTCGTCATCCCTCACCAGCTGTGGTGACAGCAGCGCGCAGCCATGGCAATGTTTGTGCTGCAGGGACAGCGGGGATGAGGTGGCCCTCCCCAAGCTGAGCTAAACCCGAGGAGGTGACCTTCACCCAAGCACCAGGCAGCATCTAGCCCTGCCAGCCAGGACAGCTCAGTGCAGTGGGGCCATGGCCAACCCACCCCAGTGCCGAGAACTGGCCCTGCGCAGGGCCCTACAAGACCTCTGGCTTCTCACTAGGTAGGGCCAACTAGGAAGATAAAGAGCAAGAAAACATGTGGCTGAAATGCAGGCAAGGCGATCGCTCCCTGACTACCATTCATGGGCGAAGAAGATGACAGGGATTCACCAAAGGGAAGTCCTGCTTGAGCAACTCGATAAGCTTGTAGGAGCCTGTCCAGTCTGTGCCAGCACCTATTCTGAGAGTGGCACAAGAGATGAAGCCTCAGGAGGGTGGGCACACACCCCATCAGAAAAGGGAGTGTGGAGGAAGAGCCAACGGCAGCAGCACGACCAGCAAGACGACCCTGCCTGGCACCAGCAAGAAGAACCGGGGCCCTGGGGCAGCAGGGGATGTTTGCAGTCCTTCCCCTTCCACCCAGGCAGAGCAGGCATCGCCACAGAGCAAGGGAGCTCTACAGGGTCAATCAGATAAGAAGGGTGATGGCCCCAGCATTTCCGCTACGGGGGACATGGGGACACCAGCACCTCCAAGAAGAAGGCGCCCACGGAGAAAACACAGCTTCAGTGGGGACAGACCCTCAGCTCTGCCATGGCCTCCACACCACATTTGGATTGCTCTTGATATGCCCCACATACCAGAGGTCCTTGCAGCACGAAAAGAATGCCGCAAAGCCAAACAAAATGATAAAGATCTGGAGAAGCAGGTGCAGGCTTCACAGTCGAAGCAGCTCCCAGACAATGCGGGGCAACCAAGGGTGGACACAGCAGCAGAGGGCTCCAGGGCTGTGCCACGCAGAAGACATAGAGGGGCACGGAAGGACAAGGGATGCTCCCAGGACAGACCTGTCTTCGTAAGACTGGAACACCAGTCTTGCGTGCATCAGAGCCCTAAGCCATGCCTTGGTCCCAAAGGAGAGAATCTGGAGGTGCCGTTCCCCTGAGGCTTTCAGAGGCAGCATGGGCTGCCAAGCTCCCTGGAGATCCTTGTTGCAGAGAATCATAAAGTCATAGAATAAGAGAATTGCTTGGTTTGGAAGGGGCCTTAAAGATCATCCTTTTCCAATCCCCCTGCTTTCTGTGGAGGGACCCCACAGAAAAGACACAGCCTGCCAGTTCCTTCGTGGCAGAGGGAGAGTCCCAGGGTGCTCAGGAGTGCTGGCTCATCACTCCCATCATCTCCTTTTTCTCCTCCTCCTCACTCAGGCTGAACCTGGAGTTGCCAGAGGACAGCGGTGAGTCTCCCACCTCTGACATAGAGAGTGACACCAGCTGCTCTTCAAGAACATCCCTGGACTCTTGGCGCACCATCTCCTGCACTACCGTCACGGAGGATGAAATCACACAGATTTCACGGGCACCTACCCCCACTCCTGTGCAGAAAGCAGACTCACTTCATGCTTCTGCCCTCCAGCCATGGCCTCATTTATCCCAAGGCTGGCCCAGAGGAGCAGCGTGACCATGACACTTGCCCACCCTGCATGGAAGAGGTGGTCGGTGCACACTTGGGAAGCAGTGTGCAGCAACACCGGCAACATGTCCAGTTCCAGCAAGTTGCTCCCACCCATCCTCCAGAGGTGCCCAAATTTCAGTCCATGAAACTAGAGGCACCTTTGCCACAAAAGGAGACCCAGGAGTCCCTGGAGACCTTGGACTGCTTCACCCCAAAGAAGAAAGAGGAGCAGAAACTGAGCCTGCTGGCTGATGCGGACAAGCCTCCACAAGATGACCCAGCCTCTGCTTCAAAAATATCTAAGCGAGCAGAAAAGCCTACTTTGAAGGTGGTTCCCATGGTGCGCGAAATGCCCTGTGTGGAAAAGACTGACGAAAGTCATCTGGAGAGGCCTGGTGGACTAAATCAGTCACAAGTGCTCTTGAGGCTACAACGTAGGATACTAATTCCCATGAGGAGATTTTTAAACCTCATCCTGAGGCAAAGACTCTGAGTCTGAGGCTCCGCAGAGCAACACAAGGCAGCACCACCGCTCACCCTGCCAGAATGACAAGGGGTGCTGCCAGGACAGACCTGGCTTTCGAAGACACCACCTCAAATGCATCAAACCCCCAAAACACAACCTGCATGGCACTGAAAGCTCCCAGAATTTGGCTGTCGACAGTTGCAGTCCCAGGTGCAGTTGAAAGAGAGACAGTGGGAGAAAAGAAATCATCTGCAGAGAGGGCCAAGGGACAGCAGGGACAGAAGAATATCACTGCCACCCAACAGCCAGAGGGGTGCAATCATGTCCTATCAATCCCTGTAATCACACAGGGGAAGCTTCTGGCACGGAGCCAGCAAACAGAAGATCCCTGCCAGCCCCACGAGGGAGCGGGGGCTCTCTCAATAAACATGTCAGTGGAAGCAAGCTCACGCGCGAGTGCCTCTAATTTCCTGGGGAAGCGCTGTGGCTCCCCTGCTCACTGCTAGGCCCTCCTTGCATGGGCAAGGCTGGCAGCTCTGTTGGCTGCTTCTAGTGGGGACGAGTGGGATGGGGGTGTCCTTCCCCTGAGGCTTTCAGAGGCAGCATGGGCTGCCAAGCTCCCTGGAGGTCAGTGTGACAGAATCATAACCTCATAGAATAAGAGAATAGCTTGGTTTGGAAGGGGCCTTAAAGATCATCCTATTCCAATCCCCCTGCTGTGGGCA